ATATATATATATATATTCATGATATAACTTAGAAAACGACTGTTTTTGTGGTTATAACTGAAAAGAGGGCTGATTGTTAATGATTATTGAGGGAAATGACAGGTAATTATTTGAGGTATCTTAATAGCGCAGTGTTTATCACATCCATAAAGTGCTGATAATACATTCATAATTTGTGTCCTTCATAAAGTTTACTTTTTTGAGTTTGCAGTGAGACCAAAGGTCACACATGTTGAACTGGGACGAAAGGCTCAGCTTATTTGACTGTACTACATGATTTGTAACAGGAAGGTCTGTGTTCTTCTCAGTGGATTCAAATGACAGAAAACAGCTTAGGATCATAATATCCCTCAGAGTATGGTTAGCCCAAAGTTGTTCATAGTTGTATCTCTGGTTTTGTTCATCCGTTCATTCTCATGGATCCAAACAAGCTCATAACTTGAAAAAAAATGTCAATTGCTTACAGTTTTATGAGCAGCGGTAAAATGAAAAAGCTCATAAAACTAGACATGCGTTTTTACGATGTAAAAACAAGTGTGCTCTGCAGCAGTGGACTTGCAGAATGAAATGTGACCAAGTTCAAATGTGTTTTCTATCAACTTGTGCTTGTCAAGTCAGCGGGTGTTTGTAATGAGGATAATTGTGTGACAATATGAAGTTTGTAGAGCTTTTTTTGTTAAAGTTGCTGTAACTGGGTTTTGAACCCAGATCTCCCACATGAAAGCCCATAGAGTTAACAATGAGACCATTGGAGCTGTGGCAGAGGGCACTGCCAGGGTTTGGTTTGAATGTATGCAGAAAGAGGCCATATGGCCAATGCAATTGTTGACACTAAATTGCAATATATTGCAGCAATAGAGCAATATTAGGACAATATTATAGTAAAACATCAAAATWCAATCATATTAGTATTGTAACCACTGAACTTTTGAGATTAAATATTATTGAACCATGGTTCAGTACTGAGTAGATACAGCAGGGGGCAGCATTGGACCAATACAAGGCTCMATTGACTCGCATTATAAATTATTAAACATTAATATTTCWAAAACTATAAGTTGYACHGGCACCAAAAKGCATAGCCATCATTTGGCACAGGAGCTTTACAGATATAAATTACAATGGCAGCTCAAGGACAAAGTATGCAGGAGGAGAAGCATGCCAACATGGAGATGACTTGGATAGGAAACGAATCACAATAGTGTGCATTGCATTGGCAATGCACACTGATGAACATAAAATACCTCTACTTTGTACCAGCAGGAAGGTAATGATTTCATTTATTCACCATTTTGCTCATCTGATGAACATTGGCAGTGCAGATTGTCACACATTACCASTGGAACTGTTGTTATGGTGCAATTAAATGCCACTCTCAGTTATTAACACCTCCTGACCTGCTTTTCCATTCCACTCCAGTACCCTTCAGTCATAGTTGATTTTATCCCCGAGTCCTCCACCTGTTGGTTCCATTCTCTCCCCACAGATCTGGTCAAAAACAACCACAACAACAACAACAACAACAACAACAACAACAACAACAACAACAACAACAACAACAACAACAACAACAACAACCTCCCCTCTCTGCTCTTAAACTGCTCTAATAAAAATGACTGATAACATTTTCATGGTAACAAACTCCGGTTTACTCTCCATTCTTATTCTCCTGATCTGAGTGTGGCCTTCATCACCATCACTCACTCCATCCTTCTCTCAACATCACTCACACTCATATTGATTTTCTGGCAGCTTTCAATGTGTTCAGCTTCAGTCTTTCAGTTCTAAGCTATCTCTCGTTACTACAGGTGTGCCTCTGAGCTCCTCCTCGTCATCATTAACTTTCTTTCCATTGGCAAAATTTGTCATGAATATGACATTTATTTCCACTGTTATGTGATGACACTCTGTCTCTCTGGCAAACCCAATTCCATCTTCCCAACTGTTAAAAAGAAATTTCTAACCACAATGGAAGCCATCTTGCTGAGCACTAACTTAAACGTATGGCTACATCAAAGGATTGTCTGTCTAAAGGTGTGACCAGGTCTGGCACCTCGACCAATACGCTTTCTGCCAGGGCCCATCGAAAAAAAAAAGTTATATTTTTTAACCATTTGGGGGCAATTTATTTGAAATTACAAAATTTAAGTATATTATTACAGACAAAAAAAATGTAAATGCATGACTGTGTTAAGTTTGATTTTGAAACTGTCCTTTTTTATGTGACATATAGAATGAATATACTGTATAGTCTTTGGCTTTTATGTTTCATGTGATTGTTGTGTCTGAATTTATTTCAGCATTTTCATTGGGAGTTGTTTATAGATTTCATTTAATTTTTTTTATAAAACAGCAGACCGCTTTGACTCCTCATGATAAAAGGGACAACATTCAAATAAATACTGTTAATAATAATAATAATAATAATAATAATAATAATAATAATAATAATAATAATAATAATAATAATAATAATAATGTTCTTTGATTTATACAATTTTTTTGAAGTTGCAGTTTTAAAGTGCCTTATAAATAAATTAGTAATACTTTACAATGGAAAAAAAAATTGTATAGGTCCTCTGGACGGGTTCTTCTTTAATGAAACGTTTCGTCTCTCTTCCAAGAGACTTCTTCAGTCTGAGAGTTTCAGGCAAAATTCAGGCTTTTATGTCCTGCCTCCATGTTACTGATGCTCACATCACATGACCATCGTTCACAGGTGACTCATACTCACATCACCTGGCTTCTTCTTCATTAAAGAAGAACCCGTCCAGAGGACCTATACAATTTTTTTCCTTTGATTTTTTACCTGGATTACTGAGATGCATCAGGAAATACTTTACAACAAATCTGCATTAATTTGATTTACGTTACAGTGCATTTGCCAATTTATTTTACATATTTTCAAAAATTGTTGGAAGCAAACACATGTTCAAACTTTATTTAGTGTATAAATCAGTTTTTTTAAATTAATTAATTTATTTGTTTTATAAATTCCCACCACATTTTAAGGTTAATGTTCTTTGTTTTRACAGTAATATCAGTGACCATTCAACCCATCCCTAAACCCTTCCAACTCGTTTTTTTGTCTTTTTTTCCCCCTTTTTTTTTCCTTTTTTATTTTTTTCCTGAACCAAACAGAAACTGGAGTGGCGTTTCCACATCCTTGAATGGGGGGCTCACTCATAGTAAAACAGGCCCCGCCTTATTGAGGGCATGTACCTCAGAAATCACACCATCCTTAAACCCCGCCCACAACAAGCCCGGGGGCCTCCCGTGGCCCCTCCCACTCCCCTCCTGGACCACACTGAAATGGGTCTGATGTTAAACTCCTAATTGCGCGGCGCTTCTCTCATCAGATCCCCGGGGCCAGAATCAGGACCATCTCTGGGCAGCAGCAGAGCAACAGGACGAGCTGATAATTCTCACATTAACAGATACAGCTGGAGGAGACCCTTCCCTAAGACCCCTGCTGAAACTGATCTCTGACCAGTGGGCAGCTTCCAGTGCGGGTCAGAAACATGAGCCTGCTGAGTACCTCCTCCCTGGTGCTGCTCATCTGCAGCTTTGGCCTGACAAGTAAGTGTAAACTTTTTATTAGGAAGGTGATGTAAGTTTGCATATAAAAATATTGCTTTACTCAAGCCTGAAGATGTTTAACGAAGGCCAGAATTTAATACTTTATATTAGAGAAATTTATTAGGTTATTATTATTTATTAGATTAGATAATTTATTATTTAACTTATTAGAGAAATGCTTAAAAAAACCACTGGGTTTAAAATGCAAACTCGTCTGACTGGGCTGGATGCAAGTTTGTCAGGGCAGTCGTACAGAATGTAGGTCAAATCTATTTTTTCTGCCTGTTTCCTGTTTTATTCTTTATAAATTTCCACGTTACAGACTAACAGCTTATGGAAATCATGAGCCAGGGGTGTCCAATCCTGGTCCTTTGGAGCCGTTATCCCGCATGTTTTATTTGTTATCAAGCTCCAATACAGCTGATTTGAATGAATGGATGATTAACAGACTTTTGCAGAACACAAAGAGTCATCATACGAACACAATCCAGTGTGTTGGAGCAAAAAAAAAAAAAAAAAAAAAAGCAAAACATGCAGGATAGTGACCCCATAAAGTCCAGGAGTGGACACCCCTGGTTTAAGCTGAATGTAAATTAAACCCTAAACTTTAACGTTCAGTTCAGTCTGCAGTTTACTCTTTACTTAAAATATAAACTGTAAACACAAATAAATTATAAACATGTAAGATGTGGTTTAATGTGCTCACGGTCATTATTATTCATTTTAAACTTTGGGGGCTTGCTCACATCAGGTCCTATAAGCATCAAACAAAAGTGGTGTGTGTGTAGGTGTGTGTGGGTGGGTGTGTGTGACCTGAGGGGGTGGGGTATTTCAATATCTGGTGTGACTTCTGTACATCTCACTTTACACCAGAACTATTGTGACATTTTTGACTTACTTATTCTTCATAAATAATTTATCAGAGGCTGAAAATTAATTTTATTGTCAGTTTTGTGGAAATCATTTCAAGGGTTCCTTTTTTGAAAAAAAGAAAGAAAAACATTTTGTTGGAGCAGCATTCCTACAGCTGTCGTCATAAACACAAACTGTCAAACCAGTTGCTAGTATTGGGAAACGTTAGTGTGTGGTGAAACATGTTGCAACGCATCTGAAATTTAGCACCAGTTAGATAAAAAAATACTAGACAAGTAATCCCATCTTTTTAGAGAAATTGTGCAATTTTAAATTATTTTTCCACATAATTCTTTTGCCCGCTTCACTTTTCGGGGTTAYGAGGAGCCGGTGTCTTTCTCCACCAGTCACTGTAGGAGAGGCAGGGGACAAGTCCATCACAGGGACACTTAGAGACAAATGAGACAATCAACCGTTCACACTCACTCACAGGAACAGCTTAGATCAGTTCAGCCAACATGCATTTTTTTGCTTTGTGGGATGAAGAAAACCCACATGTGCACTCGGAGAACATGCTAACTCCACCCAGACAGGTCTCGGGTCAAGAAGTGATGCGACCTTCTCGCTGAGAGGCACCACTTCTAACCACTGCTCCACTGTGCTGCACGAAAGAGTTTTAATTGGGGCGTTGACCCATTTCTGAACAACACCCTACAGATTTTTTTTTTCAGAAATTGTTTAAAACCATTAGTTTAATGGTAAATGAGCTGCTAGTTTATTGGTAATAAATAAAAATATTAGATCTGTATGATAACTGGCAACAAACACAAATGTGCTCGTTTGTTACTTTCCCAGAAATGATTTGTACTCAGTCAATAATGCCACCGTTTGGTTCAGTTTGTCCTTCTGAGACTGAACTTTAAGCCGGTTATGTAAACAATCAGCATGGAAGTGTGCTTTGGTAATACAATATATCACCAGTTTCAGGGGGAAAAAAACACTGAAATTAGACTTGAATCACAATATTTTGTCCCATTTTAATTAATTAATTACTTACKTTTTTGTATCTTCTTGTTCCAAAGAAACATTTTTGATGCTTACTAACACGGCAGGAGAAAATTTGTATAGGAGTCATAAGGAAAAAAATGAGTTCCCCATTTATTATCTCATAAAATACAATAAAATAATTTCCTCYGTAGTTAATAGCTGCAAGAAAAAAAGTCTCTTTGTGTTTGACTAAACACTAATCATGACTGATGGCACCAGATGTTAAACTTCAGGAGCTCTTTATGAGAAGAGAAAATGTAAATTTCGAAACATGAATACTTGTATGTTTAATTCGTTTATTTTGTAGCACAAAGCAAAAACTTTCCTTTTTAAAATGATGGGGTTTTTTTGTCATGTAGATTGTGATATTACAGGTAAAAACACTTTAGCCCCTGTCAGGAACAGGTGGGCATCCAGGCTGTTTTAGAACCAGTTTTCTTTTGATGCTTTGTGATTTCATTACAATGTGGCTTGTTTGAAAAACCAGGTGGGGTTAAGTGAACAATACAATTTTTGAATGTTGGTTTCTTAAAGACAGGAGATGCTTTTTCAAATTTGAGTTGTGTGGATAAWTGTTTTATGTTCATTAAACATTTTTCAAAATATTGTGGTTCTGTAAAAAGGTTATGAACAGTTAAAAAGAAAAAAGTAGGTCCTCTGGACGGGTTCTCCTTTAATGAAACGTTTGTTTAAGGAAGAAACGGATCTCTACGAATGCTACTATGAATTTCCCCTCAGCGGGACAATAAAGACTATTCTATTCTATTC